CAAAAACCCTAAAAGAGAAAACAAATCTCAGAATTAAAAATAGGCAGCGTTCATCACCTCAGTTTTGCAGCAGTACCAGGGATGGCACTGGCTGAGGGAGCTGGGCCTGTTCAGCCTGGAGAAGAGGAGGCTGAGGGGGGACCTGAGCAGTGTCTAGAGATACCTCAAGGGAGGCAGTGAGGAGGAGGGGGCGGCCTCTTTTCAGTGGTGGACAGCGACAGGACTAGAGGAACTGGCCACAGGCTGAGGCACCAAAAGTTCCACAGGAACTTAAGGAAACATTTCTTAACAGTGAGGGTGCCAGAGCCCTGGAACAGGCTGCCCGGAGAGGTTGTGGAGTCTCCTTCTGTGGAGATCTTTACAACCCACTTGGATGCAGCCCTGTGCCACGTGCTCTGGGTGACCCTGCGTGAGCAGGGGGGTTGGACTAGATGACCTCTGAGGTCCCTTCCAACCTTAAGCATTCTGTGRGTCTATGATTCTATGAATGGTAGAAAGGGGTGGGAAAAGGCACGGATTTTCCAGCAGGATGTGAAAGCCTCGTGCCTTTGCCTGCTTGCCTCTCCAAGGATAGATCCCCCCCAGCCATAGCATAGAGGTGTCCACYCAACCTGGCCAAAACGTAAGCACAAACAGAAAGGATTCTCTTTACGCTCCTTCCTAACCGATCAGTTTACGGCCAGCAGAGCCAGTGTCCACTGCATGACCAGCCCTGGCACATAACGTGCTGGCACATAATGTGCACATAAAACCGGGGGAAAAGGAAAGAGACACTCTAGAGATGACGATGGCAGCAGCAAAGCGGAGGCCARGCACAGGCCGCGGTGTCAGGGTGGGTGCTTCCTGTGCCAACACACGGATGTGCTCCATGGTGACGCAGCCACCGGCAACGCACCCCAGGGCACGAGGAGTGAGGGGGCCTGCGAGCTCCCCAGTGAGCAAGCGGCGGAGTCCTGAACTCACCACAGCAGCCGTCCCGAAGTGGGGCTCATAAAACGTGACGGCACCTGTCCCTTGGAATAAGAAAAACATACTCTGCAACTCAGAAGGTTACGTCCGCCCTACTTTTGTTAAAAACGTCTTCGTGCTGCATTAGGGTTTCACTGCYTTGGTGGAGTAGCAGAGCAAACAGCACACTGATCTGTAGGGCCCTTTTGCAGGATCCTTGTTTCTCTTTCCCACTTGCTCACCCAGCTCACGCTGGCCCCACCAGACCATAGAGAGCTGGCACGGAGCAGCACTTTGGCATCAGGGTCACACACCGGTGGTCACAGCTTGGCTTTAGCACAGTTCAAAGAAAGGCATTAAAATGGGATTGCAGCCCTCAGGGGTCGTGGAAATCCCAAGGGTACCATCCACGCAGCTGCTCCGTGTCAGCAAGAGAAGAATGTGGCTTTCAATGTGCCCAGCAGCTCTCCTACTAAGCAGCCTGGAAGACAGGTGGTGGGTTAGTACTGCAGTTGCTGTGACTTGAAGGAATCTCCTCCAGGTTTTTCATCTAGTGGCTCTGCTCAGAGTCCCCAAAGATTATTGAAAATGAAGTCCCAACAGACCCAACAGAGTTAAACA